TACTTTTGACATCAGACACACTTACTAAAACACATTTTTCACAATCACATTTGAAGAAAATGTAAAAACCTTGACATAAAGGTCATATCATTTATTTCACCAGTTTTATTTAACTTGTTAAAAAATATAACCAGTAGCTTTATAAACCATTCCAAATGTTGTTTAATTACAGAACTGAATAAATTCAAAAAAAGAAGTTTCCAGAAAACAAGGAATCTATTGACTGGGGAGACTGATGCAAGTGAAGAGATGATCAAAGTAAGACTGACATTTCTTTAATTTTTAATGATTGAAGCGGAAACTAAATGTGTACTTTGGATTTGGATTTATTGGTGTGGAACACACCAGTTAGGAAGTTTGATGATTTCCACTGGAGTCCTTGTTGCAGTGAATTGGGCAGTACACCATAGATAATCCTATGCCAGTGGCAATTCTTTGACAAGGGGTCCAAGGTTCTGAAGAGGAGGTTCAAGGTCCCTAATGAGGGGCCTAAAATTCCGGACATGGGTCACCACCCCACTGCAGACCCATATTGTATGTTTATGATATTAACATCTGATGACTTACTTTTTGTTTGTATTTGTTTTAAACAGAGGGCAGAAGAAGAGGGTCCAGTTGAGATTTTATCTCACTGGCATCCCAACTTAACCATCAATATCATCGATGATCACACTCCATGGAAAGCTGGTTCTATACCTCAACCTCTCGATGAATGTGAGTTCGTAAAATTCAAGATATAATTACTTCACTGCTACTTTCAATTTAATTCAATTTATTGACTCTCCAAAAAAGCCATCAAGGGCTATTATCCGCAAGATTACAATATACATAAAACAGATACTTAATACACCCAGGGTTGTAGCTGTAGAAAACTAAGGGTGTGTGATAGACATTTGAGGGGGGGGGAGGTGATAACATTAATAAAGTCTAAACAATAAGAGTCAATTTTAAGGGTGGAAAAGTGGGTTAATAAGGGTGGGTGGAGGGCCATGAAATTAGCTTTAGACTGGGTATAAAACTTCAAGGATGGGTGGCTCCAGTTGGAAAAAGACCTTCATAACTTAATCATTTACTTATTACTTATCCACCAGTACATTGGATAGAGACAGATGTTATTATGCACTACACAAGTGTACAGCCATTGGCCATTGAAAAGTGAATTCAATTCATAAATTGAATGCATTTATAGAATACATAAACCATTTGTTAATAATACACTGCCATGTAAATCTTTAGGGAAATATTGTATTAGATTTCTACTGAAAATTTATATACAAGAAAAACATATTTTTACTAATTAACTGATGTTCAAACAATAGCACTCTTCTAGTCTTGGCATATACCGTTTAATTTCTGCCAAAAAAACATCTGTCAATCATTGAATACTGATTTGTGATTCATAAAAATGTTTGCCTTTTTGTAGTTGATTGAGCAGTTCAATTTTTTTTTTTTCTATGTTTTTAGTTGGCAGTGTTTGTAAAAAAAGACTCTTTTTGAAATTTAATAAGAGTGATGTAATGTGGAGATCGTGGGTTCGATTTCCAACCGAATCACTTGCAAGATATTTTTTCCCAAGTATTTTGGGAGCTTACTGATCAATTATTAAGGCAAGACATCAGATAGGGCAAAATATCACTCCTGTCACAAGTTTGTACATTATTGTTACTATATTTATTTATCTTTTCTCTTTTAGATATAAAGTTCCATCCCTCTGGCAATTATTACCCTGTTATATACATTAATGACTATTGGAATATGATGAGCGATTATCAACCTATTAATGAAACGACGCCGTAAGTTTCTATCATTTAAATTACATTCACAATTATCATTGCTATGCATATTACAAATGTTCAATATATTATAAAATGAACATTAACCGAATGGCCGAGCGGCTAAGGCAGGAGCGCAGCATTGTACATCCATAATATTAGCGGTGGTTTGAACCGCTGGTGGTGGAACAAGTATTCGTAGATAAAGACTAGAAACCGTAAGACCAGTGTACGCAATGAGAGTCCCGTGTACTTTAAAGAAACCAGTACATCTTTCGAGAGGAGTAGAGGGGTAAAATGCTATATGAATCCAATTACATTTCATTATATTATATGATCATTATTTAGCATTAATATTGATCTGTTATTTCAGGAAACTGACGTTGGTAGTAACATTTTACCCATTGTCCTTATTGAAATGGCAGTTTTATGCGGCTCAGGGTATGAAATCACAATGGTCAATGTTACTTGGCGACGAGGGCCTTGAATCAGAAGGAGACCAAGACAGTTTCAAGGTAAATTCTGTCAGTGGCAATTTTCTATGTGTTTTGATAGGCAGTAGTATATCTAGGGGTTCATGGCGAGGAGAACGCCCCTCTAAAAAAGCTCGCTTACTTCACCCCACTGGAAACTAAGCAAACAAAAGAAATAATGCTCTAGTAGTTAAAATATCATGTCATACCACCTTATTTTGCCAGCTTATGCCCCCTCACTTTATCATTAGGCCCTCCCACTTCACCTTCGCGGCCCACTAGTTTCCCCCCCCCCATTTCAATACCTCTAGATACGCTACTGCTTATAGGTAGCAAATGTTTTTTAATCTGTTGACATTACCTGTACATTTGTTCCTCTTAGCAGACTCCAAGACTAATACTTTACCTCATTTATTTCATCCTCAGTTCACTATTACAATTCCAAACTACATTGACATTTTCTTTATTCTGTCCAGCATAAACAAAAAACATGTTCTAGTTTCGTGCACTAAGCAAGTAGCGCACGACTAGGTATACTCCCCAGGGAGCAGGGAAGGTTGCACTTTTTGCTGGTTTGCCATTGCATGTTATCCATTGATCATTAATAATAACGCTCAGCGCTTTTGATCATTAGTTGGGATTGGTTGAGATCAATGTTAATTAATTATCGGATTATAATGATTATAATTGATTGATCTTTTATTATGCTTAAATTTGAATAATTGTAATTTTTTATATTGTTAATATTAATAATTGTATTTTCTATATTGTCCGATTGCCTTCCCTTTTACTATATTTTTGTAATATTGTATTCTTATTATTGTAAATAGAGTAAATTAATTGAATTCTTGTTGGCATTTTTGGTGTTTTGAATGATAATATAGTAAATATTTTTTCTTGAATTTGTATTGTACACTGTCGTGGCTTAAATTTGATGACTGTATGCGCTCTGGGGCCGGCTTACTGGCGTAGAGCGCTTTATAAATGTCACTTATTATTTTTATTGGCGCTATACAAATATTTTTGATATTATCAAAATGTAAATAAACCGAATAAATGGTTATCGTTATTATTTTAGTTATTTTTTTATGTAACTGAAAAATACTAATTTGAATTTGGAGACATAACTTTAAAATATCTCATACAGTAGTCACAATCTTGCAATTTATATTATGTTTCAGAGAGCAATGCTAGACACAAACCCTTATCTCCTTGGTCTGACAGTTATTGTGTCTATTGTACATAGCGTGTTTGAATTCCTTGCCTTCAAGAATGGTAAGTTAATCTACAGATTGAATTTTGTTTTTTTGGTTCATGATCCTGAAATATAAATATTTTGTTCAAAATAGAGTGCAAAAACAGCCCTGCATAAAGGCTGATTCAGTATTTGTAGATGGTCCCTAAATGTGACTCATTAAATATGTTGATTTTTTTTTTGTAAAGTTGAAGTAATGAAGGAATTAAGTAATGAATGAATTAATTAATGAAAGTAAGACAATCTTTAGGCTTTGATATTAAACTGAGCATTTTTTATACAATTTGTTAAAAGTTCCTTGTTTATGAATGTCTAATGTCTTTTCTCAATTGTGATTCACTTTAGATATTCAATTTTGGAATAACCGCAAATCATTGGAAGGGCTGTCCGTTCGTTCTGTGTTCTTTGGCGTATTTCAGTCACTAATTGTACTTTTATACATTCTTGATAATGAGACAAATTTTGTGATCAAAGTTAGTATCTTTATTGGTCTTCTAATTGACTGTTGGAAAATAACAAAGGTTGTTACCTTTAAGGTTAGTATGCATCTCTTTGTTGGCCAATGCCCGATTTACAAGTCATATATTTACATTTGTTTATCAATGCCACTTTTAGATAACAAACAGATAAATTATAATAACATGCTCGAATAGGAACATTAGATGTCACAATCGTATCAAACATAATAATAATAATAATATGTAGGTTAATATTTAGTCTCAGAGCGCTTTTCTACATTATTACTCCAGTCATTGGAATGATGCCTATGGGGAAATGTCATAGTTTGCTGCATGAAATATATCAGCGTATTTTGCATTTGAACATCTTTAGGTACCCACTTATACTCCTGGGTGGAGAAAAGCAATGCAGATAAAGTTCCTTGCTCAAGGACACAAGCGAAATGCACAGTGAGGGAGTGAAACCCCGACCTTGAGGTTGGGAAACCAAACCGTTCCTGCTGCGCTAAACTTTTTGTGGATGGGCTTTGTTTGTCATCACTACCTTCATCATCATCATCATCATCATCACCATCATCATCGTCCTCACTCATCATCTTCCTAACAAGAGTTACCCATATTTCTTTGTCCTCCATTGTTCCGTGAGTTTCAGGCCAATTCATTATCCCAGGCTTATATTTTGTTGCATACAATATAACTAACATACTATTAAATTCTGCCATATAGATTGATCCTGATCGAACTGTACTTGGATTTTTACCTCGAATAACTATTGAAGATAAATCTACGTATGTTGAATCAGCAACCAAGCAGTATGACCAGGTGAGTGTGTATTACACACATTTTTTTTAATAATATCTAGTTAATAGGTGGTCTTGTTTACATCATTGATAGTGAAAAGGAACTAAAATATATACATATTGTATACATAATGTATTTTTAATATATATTTATGAGCCATGAAAATATTGCAGTATGACCAGATATCTATCAAACTGTACCATTGGCCATCACCAATTCGTCGCTCACATCACGAACTAACACAATCAAAGTAGATTGTGTTAGTTAGTGAAATCACAGTAGCGCGTCAAAACGAGCGCGTATTGGTTGTCAAGCAATTTTGTATTCTTTACCACACAAAAAGTCCTTAACAACAACAGCGTGTATTTTGACGTGCTTTTTTGATTTCACAAACTAACACAATTGAATTTAATTGTGTTAGTTCGTGATGATTAACTGACATCGCAGAACTCGGGCACCTCCTATCCTGATAATAAATTCATTAAGTGGCGTAAAAGTCATAAGCACTCCCTGGCTAAAGCCAGGGGCCCATGCATTTACGGGCTCAAGGATATTTATATCAGCATTTTTGGCCCGTACATTGCTTTATAAGAGGACTAACATGTAAGGAAACATCAAAATACTTCTCTAAAATGTCAAATACCCAAAGCGGGCAGGGCTTTTTTCCACCAGTGTAGAGTGACCTGAAGATTTTTATATTTTTTGTATTATTATTGATAATTTAATTATTACATTCCCTTTGCTTTTCAGATGGCATTCAAATATTTGTCTTGGTTATTGTTTCCGTTATTAGCCTGTTATGCTGTTTATTCGCTCTTCTACCAAGAACATAAAGGATGGTATTCTTGGGTGCTAAGTATGCTTTATGGATTTCTACTCACATTTGGTAAGCAAGTTATGGAATATACATATATATATATATTGAAAAATTTTTTTAGTGAGTAACTTATTCAGTAGAAATTTACGTACATGACCCAGTTATGCTTATCATAATGAGGCTTAATGAGTGAATTTGTTTTAGTTGTGAGAAAAAATCCTGCTATAATCAGTGACGTACCTAGAATTTTGAAAAGTGGGTGCTTAATAGAAATATTACATCCACTGAACTTTACGCATACTGGGGGCGGAGCATATCGATGGCTATGACTGCACCATAAATTGGTTATTAACACTCTGACCGCCAGGGGTTTGAAAAAATTGTATCAGCCACCACCAGATATTTTAGCATATTTTAACACTTTTCCGAAGCTCGTTGAGAGTGAATATGTGATCGAATTGACATGTTGTGAATAAAGAAATACAAAAATTTTAGCTTTACAATGGTACCAAACACTTTATTCTTGTCACAATCTGTGACCCGTAACATTAAAATGAAAATGACTCACTTTTGGAGATTTTCGCAACAAAGCTGAGATAATCGCGATGTAAAAAATGTAAATGTAAACAAACAAATAGTGAAATACTTAAGGTCCCGACTGAATATGGTGTTCAAATTATTAGTATATGTCGGTAATTACCCCATTTATCGAATTCCGTAATGAAACCTGAAACACGGAGATCTTCGTGTTTGGCAGTCAAGCTTTGCGTTACTAAACACGGAGATTTCTGCCCGCCAGGTACTTAGGTACCGTAAAAGCCCGCCTGGTTACACAACTACTGTCTCAGTAGTTGAATCCAGAACACTTGGGTTGAAAGGAAAGCATCTTAACCACTTTACTATTCAACTCCATCCAGTAAGTGAAGCCAGCAATTATGTTACGCATAGTAGGCGGTCTATGGCTCCCTGGTGATGGAGTCCAAGGGTTTTCCCCCACTGCTACTGTATGTCAAGGGGGAAAGCTAGTTTCAATAAGAAGAGTCTGGCCCAACTGGTTCCGTTCACAATATTAAAGGTCGCACTCATTGACCTTGGGTCATCAATGATGTAGGGTCATGAATAATCTTGTCATAATTCTATGCAAAAGCAATGCATAAATTGCAATCATTCTATACTGCAATGTTTTTTATTTGATATTTGATCTTTCATCTCAGGTTTCATCATGATGACTCCACAGTTGTTTATAAATTACAAGTTGAAATCCATAGCTCACCTTCCATGGCGGATGCTAACGTACAAAGCTCTTAATACGTTTATAGATGACATTTTTGCATTTGTAATCCAGATGCCAACACTTTATCGTATTGGATGCCTCAGAGATGGTAGGTATCTGACACTCTGAACTGCTTATGTGTTGTAAGTCTATGCGAGAGAATTTGTATATATGCCATAGATCAAGTAAAATGTCTAAATTAGTATATTAGCAATACATTATGTGGCTGTTTATATTTTTAACATTCTTTTTATAAATGTAGTGTATTTTCTGTGGTGTAAATATGTTGTTTGGTGACCTATGATGGCAGTATGGTCCTCTGTTTAGATTATCAAATTTCCTTTGAAAAAAAAAACACTATTGTTTGCGCATATATATTGTCATGATGTGATGTCATCATGACCTTTTTTAGGCGTATCACACTTTTTTGTCAAATAAAATTGATGGTTTGTACGGGGCTTTACACACAAAAATATTAAGCATCAAGTTATGGTTGTTGTGATATTCAGAATGAGATTATTTTATTATTTGTGGCAAACCAAACCAGTCACTCATTACAAATCCAGATAATTGCCAAAACATGCTGGAATTTTTGAAATCTATTTTATTACACTAAACTAACCTTTATATATCTATATATCATGCTATGCTGTTATTTTCCAAATTTTCACTGTTAAAACAACAATTTTTTTGATTTTGTAATGGTTTATGTCTGAGAAATGCCCAAAATCATAAACTGTGAAGGCTGATTTCACAAATATTGTTCTTTAAAAAGTTGTATGTTTTAACTTCTAACTTCATAATAAAATGTCGGATTTAAATGATTCTTTGACCATTATATAGCTCACATTTTACTCTTTGACCCTGTATTAGTAACTAAAAATAAATTTTTGCAACGAGTGACTGGTTTGGCTTGTCTTTGCCACGTTTATTTAATGTATATTTTTATTTTTTTAACTAAAGCTCATAGAGGGAAATTTGTTGTATTATGCTCTATAATAGAATAACATCATGTTAATCACAATTTTTATATTTTGAAGTAAAAAGTAAATAATAGGCAATTTTTTTTAAATTTTAAATTTATTATTCTCTGCCACTGTAAATCATTCCCACAAAGAAATTCAAAATATATTTTGATTTCCTGCAGATGTAATATTTCTTATTTACGTATACCAACGCTGGATCTATCCCATCGATTATTCCCGGGTAAATGAATTCGGGACAACAGGTGAAATGCATGGAGCCAATGGGAATACCCCCAAGGAAATTGAAGGTGCTGATGCAACGTCCAATGAAGTTAAACCTGAAGCAATCAAATCAGCTGAAGAGAAGAAGAAAGACTAAGCTACAGTGTTTGTTACTTGTGTACTATTGCTTGTCTTCTTTCAGTAGATGTTGTCCATTTGCTAACTTTGGGTGCAAGTTTAATTTTTATTTGGTAAATTGTACCAGGAGAGGATATATCTTAATTTAATGTTAAGTAAATAGTTGTTAGTGGCCTAACATTTGAACTGTTCAGTCTCTTGAGGAATGTCTCATTCCAATACCCCATTCACAGACAGAAAATTTTCTAAAAATATTTCCCTACAAGATTTGATGCTTTTTACAGTTCATACCCAGTAAAGATACGCACAACGCCAGTACGGATAACCTGCGCCCTGTTACCATGCGCACATATTTTTGCTCAGGGGTGGATCCAGGAATTTGAAGTAGTGGGGCCCAGGGAAGGGCGTGCACAGAGGGTGGGCCTATTCCAATCCATGGTTGGGGCTGAGGTAAGAAAAATTATGATTATTGCATGGAAATGACTCTTAGACTTAAATTTTATAATTTTCTCTCTTTTTTTTCTCCATTTTTAAATAGTTTTTATAAATTTAGGGTGGGGGTGGACTTGGCCTTCCTGGATCTGCCACTGTTGCTAAATAATTCAAGAATCTTCCAGGCCCCTTGAAAGGTTGTTTTATTTTACCGAGACTTCCTTGATATTCTTACAAAAAGATGCATTCTTACAACAATTATATCCTTACTAGGGAAAATATTCTTGGTAAATTTTTTAATATTTAATTTGATGTTTGAATCTGGCGCAAGTTGAAAAGTAAGGCCATTAAATGCTATTAACTTACAATCCATATGCCATATTTGTGAAGTTGTAGCATGTCTAACAATTCTTTTATTAACTCAATTTATAAAATGAATGAATCAACAGATAGTATTTTTTTAGTAGATAAAATGTTGTATGTGGATATAATGTTGTGCAATGCAATGTTTCATATGATTTTAACTATACCTAAACTCCATAATTAGGCCAAGCAAACAAGAACTGAAGAAAAATCAAGTATATTAATATTAAAATTCTAATGTACTATCGAAAGGCATGGCAATATTTAATACAGACTGTACTGTTATATAGACGTGGCAATATTTTAAAGTTCATATAAAAAGAAGTTTTACAATTTTACTCGGGTCAGGATTTTTATAAATAAAACTTGAGGGAATGTTCCTATGAGTCGGATTTAAATAATTTTTAAATAACTTTTATCATATCATAATTTTCATTCTACTGCTTAACCCTTTATTAATAACGAATCATATTTTTGCAGGGAGTGACTGGTTTAAATTGTCTTTGCCACATTTCATGTATATAGTGATGGTGTGCATTCTAGACGTGCATTTATAATGGTGGGTGCGGGTGGGGGTTGGTTATTCTGTACTAAGAGTACACTTGGATATTGTTGTCTGTCATGTGGTCAATTATATCAGAATAGGCAAATTTACCCTTCCAAGGGACTTCACCTAATCCTGTAATGGGAAACTTTCTCCCTTCCAAGGAACTGTATGTTATCCTGTCATTTAGTATGGGTTCTTAGTCATAAAAAGATAGAGTTAATATTGTCAATAAAAATGGTTCTTTTTTATTAGAATTCCTAGTGTGAGGCCCTTCAAAAGTTTCATTCGATAACCAATCTTATCACCTAAATTAAAAACATTTTTTATGTAACTGTAATGTTTGCCCTTATAAAGAATGCTTAAAGTAAGCATGAAGGAAGATGATCTCAGAAAATAATTATACAGTGATGTATTTGAGCAATAGTAATGAATTAACCTTGATTACCAAATGACACATAAACCCAGAAAGGTAAACTAAAGTGTTTTTCTCATATGCTTTACAGAACAGGGATAGTAGTGAAGTATATTTGTAAAACAGATTTTAATGTGTTTTACAAACTAATTTTGTACAACAAATTCAAATCTAGATTTTAGAAGTTTTCTTCAGATCTCCTCATGTTTATTCAAATGTGCTGATATTCACCCTATTTTTTTTTAACCATAGAGGGCGATCTGCTAGCGTATTCAAGATGCTCGGCTGATATTCAGGGGGCCTCTTGAATAAATGAAATAACGTGATACTTTATCAGCGAAGACTCTTTATGAGACTTAGGGAGTGGAGTGTCTTTTAGTTGTAATAAAAATCCTACTGTCACAGATATTGAACCCTGGGATTGGAAGGCAAGCATCTTAATCACTAAGCTATTTAACTCCATTCCAAAATGTTCACCCTATCTCGATGTTCACCCTATTTCAAATGTTCACCCTATGCCAGTGTTCACCCACTCTCAATGTTCACCCTATGTCAGATGTTTACCCACTGTCAATGTTCAACCTATCTCAGATGTTCACCCTATGCCAGTATTCACTCTGTGCCGATCTTTACCCTATGCCAGTGTTCCCCCAATCTCAGATGTCCACCCTATATCAGATGATCACCCTATCTCAGATGTTCACCCTATCTCAGATGTTCACCCTATCTTAGACGCTCACCCTATCTCAGATGTTCACCCTATCTCAGATGTTCACCCTATCTCGAATGTTCACCCTATCTTAGACGCTCACCCTATCTCAGATGTTCACCCTAACTCAGATGTCCACCCTATCTAAGACGTCCACCCTATCTAAGATGTTCACCCTATCTCAGATGTTCACCCTATCTCAGATGTTCACCCTATCTCAGATGTTCACCATATCTGAGACGCTCACCCGATCTCAGGTGTTAACCCTAACTCAGATGTTCAACCTAACTCGGATGTTCACACTATCTAAGATGTTCACCCTATCCCAGATGTTCACCCTGTCTCAGATCTTCACCAAGTGTTGGTGTTCATCTTGTCTCAGATGTTCACAAAGTGTTGGTGTTCATTTTGTCTCAGATGTTCACGCTGTTCCATTGTTCACCCTGTGGTCGATGTTTACCCTTTCTCAAAGTTGATTTGATGTCAATGTGTACTGTATGTTGCTGAATGTTCACACTATGCCAGTGTTCACCTTTTGATCACATCCTCCTTTTAATTTTAAACAAAATCCAAATGAGTTTATCGAACCTTGTTCTTTTCTTGAATGTGAATATTGAATTGATGAGACAATCAAAGGCTGCATTCCTTTATGAATATGAATGGAATTTAGTTCGTATTCCAAAATAATGTATATGTAATTAAAATATATCCTCTATGAAATATGGAGACTGTAAACTGTCTCTTGGTACTTTGTCTTTGTATGAGTAGCGACTGCCGTAGAAACAAATGTGATATAAATAATTGGTTTTAAAATGCATTGTTGATTCTTTTGTATGATGGTAACCAAATACCTGCATGAAGTTGTAGATCTTTTTGTACCACATGTAAGTTTGAATGACCATGTTGTATTTTGTAGTGATTACGTAACCTTTTCTGTAGAGCATACAGTGAAGGAAAGACTGGAATGTTGTAAAAATCATGGAATCATGTGTGATATATAATGTCCATTATGACAAGAATGTTTATCATTTTAATCAATAAAATACACATGTTATCAACAATAAAGTTCCATGTTTTATTAGAGTTCAGACACATTTTGCATATCAAAGTCAAACCAAAATATAGCAAAATAAATTGCAGTCCCAAAGTTTTCTGCTCTTTGGTCAACAAGAGAAATTATTTAAATACTGTATCAAATTCTGACATTCAAAAACATTATTCTGCATATCACTCACCTTCAGTGAGACTTCGTAGTCTCAATTCTTTGCCAGAACCTTTACATCACATATTCGATCAGCACATTAACTCTATCCCATTATTACCTATTTATCATTGTTAAAAATCCGAAAATATTGTGTCCCAAAACTGCTGAAATTCTTGCTCATCCTTTCATTTTTTTGCATTCGCATTCAACAGCAAGTTACACTCGAATTTCGCGATGGAGATGCTTTTCATTATTAAAAATCCGAAAATATTGTGTTCCCCCAAATCTGCTGAAATTCTTCCTCATCCTTTTATTTTATTGCATTCGCATTCAACAGCAAGTGACACGCCAATTACGCGATGGAGATGCTTTATATGGAAATCTCTAATTGGTGTCACGAGAATTCTCCACAACTCCACAATGATTTTTTTTTTTAAATTCTACTGCTTTGTCTGAGCTGTAGGCGTCACACTATGACACCACCCATATCAGTCCTGTAATTTTAGTCCCTCCGTTGGCTACGATGGTAACAAAATTTAATTTTCTTAAGAGGCAAGTCCCTGCTTGCCGCAACAGACGTACATGAACACTGTTGAAGTCTTTCCTTGGTGTGAACCATCTCCTTTGTCCGTTCTGCTAAAAAACAAACTAATTTTGTGTCCCCTGATTTTCCATGGAAGTCCCAAGAAAAACTAGCTACTTTCCTTTTGGTATGACCTCTTTCTAATTATCGATTCGCCTTCACAAACATCTGAAAGTTTTAATTTTACAAGATTAATGAATTTCAGTACCTTATTGAAACAAGGCGGCTAGATGAATCGACCAGTTCACAGGACGACGTGTTCCCATGGTTTGATCTAAGATGCACTGCACGCACATTATCATCAACGCATTTGAATTCCCTTTAAACGCCGCTGAGAAAATGACGGAACCTGCTGATTTGACGACCGACACGTGCGCAAAGCTTACTCATCTGCTAATGTTGGATCCTGGTAGGCTACTGTACGTGGTGGGCATTGGAAACCTTTGTTTTTTTTTCCTGCAATGTCGGGTTCAGCGTACTTAATCACACAATAGGTAAAGGAACGCCCCTGTACTCTAGCATCTCGGACAATGATCCCTCACCACCTCCGGACAATAGGTTTTCTTACAGGCCCCTGCGTAGCTACAAAAGGGGAAAGGACCATGCCTCACTGTCAATTTTCCCCCTGTAAAATAAAAGTAGTAATTGAGTATACTGTATAAAAAATAACAAACTTAATGAACAAAACAGTAACTTCGAAAAGAGAGTAACTGTCCGAATTTTGTTTTTTAAAACTAATAGTTGAGCCTCTGGTTAATGAACAACAGATATTTTCATTTTGTTTTTATTTCATCTCTCGTGACAATAAAAAATAAACAAACAATGCAATTAGACCTTCATTTTAAAAACGAACAAATTCCAATCTGCAAGTCAAAAAAGACGAAAAAAAAACAACAAAACAACAAAACAAAAACAAAAAACAAAACAAAAACAAACAAATCGACTGTTATTCTATTATGTAAGAATTATCATATTTAATTTTGTTTTAATTCAGTCGCCTCATTTCTACCCTTCCCCGACAACTTATTAAAGGATTTTTTCTGATATGATGTATAAATGCTTTTTCTAAATAAAGAGGCAAAAAGCGTTGACGAAAAACTAGGAAACCCGTTAATGAAATACAGATTTTTTATTATTTAATAGTGGGGGAAAAGGTGGAAAGGGGCTGGTTACTCCTAGAATTTGTCAACATGCATGTGGTACAACATATCAAATTTGCTCCGGAGCCTGGCTTTAAAAGTGCAAATCGAAAAGTCAATTTATTTTTGTTCGATTGTGTTGTTGGAATGGATGGTTGTACAAGACAGAAAACGAATTCCTCCGTAAATTATTCTCTTAAAAATATAACGCCCTCTCTTATTTTGTTTACATTTTAAAGCACAAAACGAACACCGTGCTTGGTTTGTTGGTACGTAGCATAAGCACATTCTAAATCGGATACGAACAATGTGGAATATCTGTAATAGTAATACTATTTGCAGAGATTTTTAGTCTGTAAATGCATTAATGATTATTGTTTGCGTTGATTACAGTTCATACAGAGTGAAGATTAGAGACCAAATTAAGAAAACACCTTATCTTTATGTACGATTCACGTGACTTCGATAAACTTTGCCCAGCTTGGCGAATTTAATCTCTCTCACATTCACTAGCGATTCGTGCTCTACCAAAGGAAGGTCAGAGACAGAGCTTAAGTTCATGTGTTGCGAAGAGGAAAACGTATTAATAGATACACAAGAAAGATTTAAGTTTGCGCGAAAGTGATTATCAATATATATTTAGTGTTTCATGTCGAAAGTCTGTTCTCAAAGTGGCGTAGCAGGAGTTCTTGTAAATGAACAGTTTACAGCTGTGAGTTAGCACGTCTTCTCTCGATTGAGTGAACCCAACGGGTAGTGACTTTTTGATTGACCGCTGTACGCTGATTTTGATTAGAGACAAGGAACATGGCGATGGATTTTCGTCCCCCGATGGCCCCTGTTTTACCAAGTTCCCCTGTGATTGTACCACATTCTGTTGCCGTTGCCATGCCCCCTCCGGGTGCAATAGCTCTTTCAAACATGGGACATGAACAAATTGTAGTTATGAATGGAGATAGTAGTTTAGACTGCAATAGAAAACGACCTTTAGAGGATGACATACAGTTAAATTCTTCAAAAAGACTGAATTATTCCGGTAAGTTTGATGTTTCAAATCCGTGTGATCATGTTTATTTATTTTTTAGTATATCCTTACCACCTTTTGTGCTACTTAAGTGATCACAATTTTATGGGAAATTATCAACAAAACAACAAAAGCTGATAAAAAAAAATGATTTGCATGTTTTCAACATTCTATTGCAGTGGTTATACAAAAATAAATTCCTAAGTACTGTATAAAATTTTTAATTTATTGCTCATCTTGCACAACTCAAATTAGTGTGCATTGGCTTTCATATCCACATGGAATTAGATTTCCTTGAGGATAAGCATTGATATTCTTCAAAATTATATGCCAACTTACGATTAATCGCAGGTTATATTTCGATAAGCAGCATTAATATCTTAAATAAGAAACTGGAAATTATACCTGGGACCAAATTCAATGAAATGTTGACAAAAAGGTAATCATGCAAGATGAATTACAGTAGAATTCCAGCCAATTTAGTACATATCAAATGTGTTTCTTTTTTTTTTTTTTTTTGTGAATTGCAAGTTTTCAGCTGATTAATTATGAGAGGTAACAGTCAAATAAATAGATAAATAAATAAATTAATTAATTAATAGTTTATAAATGCACAATGTGATTTAATTATTAACATTTGCCAAATCAGGCTAGCTCACAAAAATATAGTCTAAGGTTTGTTTTTCAAACTTACATTTTTTTATTAGGAATATCCATTCCCAGCTTCATGAAACTCAATATCTGCCTTAGTTATTATTTCCTTTGTTAATAATAAGAAAAAAACTATATTAAAAAATAAAAAAACTGATATCTGTAGAATCTTAGTCCATCCTAAGTAGGTTGTAACCCTTCTTAGCATAAGTGTCGGTGTCAGTATAAGATTTCCAATCATATTTTATTTTGTTCCAACCAAGGCAGGAAATTGAGGCATTTAAATGGTTAGTATTTTTTTAAACATTTTGTTCAGGCATTTTTCCGGTAGAAAAATGTTTCGCTTTGACACAATAGTGATTTTTATGTTCTTTCCGAAATCATTTAAAGCACTTATAAACAAGTCTGCTACTAGTGAACCAAGCATCGTCATGGTACTGTCTCTTATACACATCTAGATGTGTATAAGAGACAGCTATCAATCAGACTAAAGTAATCTTTTCGCTTATCAACTCAACCTTCTTTCCCGTCTTCGTCTCCTCCTTCTCTTCGTGCGAACAGCAGAACATCATCTTCACCGCATCCAACATCAATGCCATCTGGAAGATGACGAGAACGGCGAAGAATGATTTGCCAAATCAGGCTAGCTCACAAAAATATAGTCTAAGGTTTGTTTTTCAAACTTAACATTTTTTTATTAGGAATATCCATTCCCAGCTTCATGAAACTCAATATCTGCCTTAGTTATTATTTCCTTTGTTAATAATAAGAAAAAAACTATATTAAAAAATAAAAAAACTGATATCTGTAGAATCTTAGTCCATCCTAAGTAGGTTGTAACCCTTCTTAGCATAAGTGTCGGTGTCAGTATAAGATTTCCAATCATATTTTATTTTGTTCCAACCAAGGCAGGAAATTGAGGCATTTAAATGGTTAGTATTTTTTTAAACATTTTGTTCAGGCATTTTTCCGGTAGAAAAATGTTTCGCTTTGACACAATAGTGATTTTTATGTTCTTTCCGAAATCATTTAAGTACTTATAAACATGGAGTTATAACTCCATGTTATAAACAAGTCTGCTACTAGTAACCCAAGCATCGTCATGGTAATATAGTGTAGGTTGGTGTTATCTAGTTTTTCCAAAGGTTAAAATATCTCTTGGGTATTAACCTGATTTATGTAATGAGAATTTTAAAGTCTAGTATTTCTGTTTGATGTTTAATAATTACCATATCATTAACATAACATCAGTAGAATATGTTTACAAATGCTTCCTTCTTATAAACAAAAAGACTTTAGAAAGGTTAAAGGTGATATAGATGTAGGGATTACTATTATTTTATCATGTATTCCTCTTTATTGCAATAATCTCTTGGCAACAGTTGTTCCAAATGACATGAATAAATCAACATATATATTAACCTGAGTTGTTGACAAGGAGAAGTCCTTGATTGCTACATGGAAGAATGCATGCTATCCTGTATAGTTAAGCTACTCAAAATGGATGCCATATGAAAGACACTAAAAATCTAAACCAGCATCTATATACAATCATTGTAGAGAGGATAAAGACTGTTTAGACCAGTACTATTATTGGTGTCTATTATCAAACATATTTAATTTATTAATTGAACCTGTTAGAACTCATGGAAAATGAATGAATATCTAGCCCCCCCCCCCCCAACCAAATCAAAATAATAATAATATTGAAAATTTATAAAGTACCGGTATCCTTTTTAAGAGAAAATGCTCATGATTTCCCTCCATAAGAAAGCCAAAACATGTTAAAAGAAATATGAATGAAACCAGATACAGTTTAAGAACTAAGAAAAACAGTTTATATATTTTACACATTGTCTTGCAACTACAAAAGGGAATATAAATTACACATTCTTTGGATTGGATTAAAATAAAAAAATAAAATAATATTATTAATGTAGATAATACTGTACCTTACACTAATAATAGCCCCAAACTGCTTTTAACAATGAATAAATATAAGCATAACTAATACAGTATTAGGCATATCATTGCTATTTGCTTATTTTAGGATAATAATTTATCAGTACACTTGTACAAGAAGGAAACTTATTTTAAGCATTTAATTTATGTTGTAGATATCTTTAATATGTGTTTTATATACATTTGAATGAGTATACCATTTAATAACGTCTGGCATGTCTGGAAAACTTAGTATTTCCCTGTGCAATCAAGGCAACTTCCCTTCTCTTAATAATTCTGTCACAAGAAAGTGTCAAATTGTACTTACTTCTAGTTTGTATTATTCTCTACAGCTGTACTATTCATGTCCACAATTTTCTCCTGTGTTTTATAGTATAGAAAATATGTCACTTACTGAAGTCATGACTTTTGAGAATTAGATTAAAGATTGTCTAGTGTTGAGCTAAAAAAAAATACCAAAACAATAATTTTATTTATGTTTACTTTTTATGGAACTTGGAACTTATTAGCTTCCATTTGAAATTTAGAGTGAGAACAAATTTTCCTTATTAGTAACAAAAACACCTAAAAATTTGCTATTCTTTTGTGTCCATTACTAGGCTAATATAATAATCAATTTAACATTTTTGTAGACATATTATATTTGTGAAAAACCAATCCTGTTTAATTTTTTTGCCCTCTTCTTAGGTGGACTAGCACTGCCTGCCATTAATGATGATTTTGAATAAAAATTTAAAAATTATTTTTTAACCTATCAGTGCACCCGCCGCCATGAAAAACTGGAAATTTCAGAAAAAAATAAAAGTTTTATTTATTTTCATTATGTCTGCAGCTGCTTTGAAATCTCCAAAAATAAGAAATATTTCTTCCTAATACATAAAATTAAAGAATTTAACAATCCCAATACTACACTGTTACATTCAGCAATGACATTTTGATTTACATTTTCTCCTCCATCTGGATGTTTTTGGCAAAATATTTGTTAAATAAGAAAACAAAATTTTGTTTTTATTCTTTTTCCCATCCTCCTCTAATGACCTTTAAAAAAATAAGTTTGCGAAACAAGGTATAAAATAGTGTCTGTAAGCAGTCTTAGAAGATGGTTTATAGCATTCATTTAGTGTTCATGCTTGTTGCATTATCTTTATTATTTATTTAGAATCCTTTAAATGTAATCTCAGTAACTTTCTTTAATGTTTAATGGGAATAATATTGTTTTGTCTGTAGGTGTATTAATAAAATATGGGGATTTTTGTCAGTTTTTTTTACTTTGAGGATAGATAATATAAGCGTGCATGCTTATTGTAACACACCACCCAACCACACTCAGTTAAACAACTGTTATCAATTTTAACTAATTGTTAGAAACAGCAAAAATCATTAATATAAATGAAAACATTAATCAAATATGTAGTAAACTATTTTTTTAAGTCATTAATACAACTAAAAATAACCAGTGGCGCTACGAAAGAAACAGATAGTTGCGTTTAGACAGATACTTTGTGAGGAGCTGTCAAGAAGACAGTGTGTTCTTGTTGCCTCTGCTTTTGTACTCATTATCTCCTCCGGTCAGTAATTATTTATGCTGCATTTAGCGTGCAAATCAATATTTAATTCACAGTGTTCGCTGATCACTTTCCTCGTTCAAAAGACATTATTCTTCGGAACATGCTTTACTACAATGAATCTCAGTCCTGCATTTAAACTGTATATTTAGACTTAAAATTTAAGTCTAATATCTTGTGAAGAGTTCATCTTTCAAAGCTATGGCTTTGTTTTTTTATCGTGTTTCTAATTGTTCAAGTAATAATGATGTTAAATATCTTATCTTATATATATATATTTCGATGTTGAATTTGAAATGAAAATACCTTGCCCCAGAAGTGATCAATATCACAAATTTCTATTTCTAATTTAAATAAATTTAGTTAGAGCTGCTAATCTATTGAATTGATCTAATTATCTGTACTGTGAAGAGGAATCATTTGTTATTCTCCTATTGTATGCTCATGTCATCAACGAGCTTTAGACTTGATTATCATTTCTAGAACCTTTCATCCATTTCTTATTATATTTTACGTACCATAAGTGATCATATAGCGACATAATGTATTGACTTTGATTAGAATAGATGCATAACTATATGTAATGGCAATTTTGTATTTTGATGTTAAATAAAAATATAGTCTGTAGAGGCTTCACGTTCTAGAAATAATAGAATTCTTTTTTACAAGAATCCGGGTTTGAATAGTTAATGTTTAAAAAAGGAAGATATAATCAAGAATCTATTATCTTTAGAAGAGCTTCAATTATCAAATACTACTCAGTTAAGCATATACTGTAGGCCTAACTACTGAACTTCAATTACAAAAAAAAAAATGTTATCAGATTTTACTAAT